TCTCTGTATTTACAAATAAATTCCTTCTTCAGCTCCTGAAAAAAAAAACGGAAAAGGAGCCCTGGTGGCATAGTGAGTACAAGCTAGGCTGCTAACCTGAAGGTGACCAGTTCAAAACTAGCAGTCACTCCTTGAGAGAAAGATGAGGCTTTTTCTTCCGTAAATATTTACAGCCGCGGAAACCCTCTGCAGGGCCACTTTGAGTTGGAAATGACTTGACAACACACAAACATCACCACCACCAAAAAACCAGGAAAGAAAGAAAAGACCAAAATGGTTGTCAGAAGAGACTCTGAAATGTGGTCTTGAACATAGAGTTGTTGTTGCTAGGTGATATTAAGTTGATACTGACTCACAGCGACCTTATGCAGAGCAGAACAAAACACTGCCCAGTCCTGTACCAACCTCACAATCCTGGTTACGCTTGAGCCCATTGCTGCTGCCACTGTGCCAATACATCTTGTTGGGGGAACTTCCTCTTTTTCACGGATCCTCTGCTTTACCAAACATGATGTCCTTTTTCAGTGACTGGCCTCTCCTGAAAGTATGTCTGAAATATGAGAGACAAAATCTGGCCATTCTGGCTTCCAAGGAGTACTCTGGCTGTACTTCTTCCAACAGATTTCTTTATTCATTTGGCCATCCGTGGGACTTTTAATATTCTCCTCTAACACCATGACTCAAATGCATAAATTTTTCTATGGTTTTCACTATTCACTGTCTAGCTTTCATATGCATATGAGGTTATTGAAAATACCATGGCTTGGGTCAGGCCCACCTGAGTCCTCTAACTGTCATCTTTGCTCTTCAACACTTTAAAGAGATAATAATATGCAGCAGATTTGCCTAATGCAATATGTCGTTTGATTTCTTGACTGCTGCTTCCATGAGTGTTGATTGTGGATCCAAGCAAAATAAAGTCTTGGACAACTTTAATCTTTTCTCCATTTATCTTTTTTTTTTTTTTTTTTAATTTAAGGTTTTTATTGTGGATTGAGTGAAAGTTTACAGGGCACATCATCAGTTTCGCATTCAACAATTCATATAACTTGTTTCATTACATTGATTATAATCCCCTCTATATACCATCAGTTAAAAGTATTTCTCTTTATCCACTTTAGCTTTTTTTAAAAAACACACAAACAAAAAAACCCACTCAGGCATATATAATAAATTACATCTCCAAAGGGCACATTCTGCAAGTCTGCCTCCTGGCCACCAGTTCTTAGTCCTTCTCTTCTTAGTTGATGAATCTAGAGTCCTCAGCCGCTCCCCCTTTCTATGCCCCCATCTCTGCCTCCATCTCTGGCGCTGCTGCTTCTCTGGATAAGGTCCTGCATTCTATTTGTGTGTTCCTCTCTTGATGGTTTTTCTCCATTTATCTTGATGTTATCTTTTGGACCAATGGTAAGGATTTTTGTTTTCTTTACATTGAGATGAAACCCATACTGAAGACTGTGGTCTTTGATCTTCATCAGTAATTATTTTAAGTCCTCTTTAGTTTCAGCAAGCAAGGTTGTAGCATCTACATAACACAAGTTGTTAATGGGTCTTCTCTTCCAACCCTGATGCCGTGTTTTTCTTCATATAATCCAGCTTCTTAAATTATTTACTGACTATACAGATTGATTAAGTATGGTGAAAGAATACAACCTTGGTGCACACCTTTCCCAATTTTAAGTTATTCAGTATTCTCTTGTTCTCTTCAAAAAAATTGCCTTTTGGTCTGTGTACAGGTTCCTCATGAGCACAATTAAGTGTTCCGGTATACTCATTCTCTGTAATGTTGTCCACAGTTTGTTATGGCCCACATAATCAAAAGGTTTTGCATAATCAATAAAGCACAGGTAAACATCTTTCAGCCAACATCCCTCTGACGTCAGCTATGATATCCCTCATTTCACATCCTCATCTGACTCCAGCTTGAAACTCTGGCGGTTTCCTGTAAATGTACTGTAACAGCTGTTTTTGAATGATCTTTAACAAAATTTTACTTGCATGTGATATTAATGATATAGTCTGATGATTTCCACATTCTGTTGGGTCTCCTCTCTTTGGAATGGGCACAAACATTTAGAGTAGCTCAAGTAAAAGGAAGCAATGACTAAGTAAAAGAGCTGAACAGAAGATTTCAAAAGATACTGCTAGAAGTCAAAGTAAAGTGTTAATAATGAAGTGTGCAATGACTTGGAGTTAGAAAACCCAAAGGGACGAACACTCAATACTTCTCAAACTGGAAGAACTGAGAAAAAACTAATTAGTGATAAAAGCTGGGTTGTAACCCATATAATCTGATTGTTGAGTGCATATTCTCAATCACTTTGCTATATTGGTAGGATAATTTATTAATGAACTACTGTGTTCTTGTTTAAGGAGCCCTGGTGGCACTGTGGGATGAGACTGTCTGCTCTTGTAAAGATTCCTAGTTTTGGAAAGCCTATAGAGGGTCTCTATGAGTTGGAATCGACTTGATGGCCGTGGGTTTGTTTTGAGTTTTGGGTGCTCTTGTTTGGTGAAGGGAATTACAGTGCTTTCACAATGATCTCAGTCTGCAAGGATAAAGTCCCTTAACGTTTCTCAATCAAGGAACAAACATATGAGAAGCAATGAAAGAATAGGAAGAAATGGTTTCTTATGGGAGATTGGTGTGAGGAGAACCCCAGGACACAGTTTCCAGAAACTCATGTAGGGTTTGAGTGAACTTCAAAGGAACTCTTGGTGATGATGAGGAGGGGAGAGAAGAAATAGTGTATTTTGAATGGTTCCTGAACATCTAATCTGCTCAAAGACCTCAATCTCAACTCTACTGCAGCAATTACATCTGTGGCTTCAAACCAAGTTGAGCATGTTGTTATTGTTGTTGTTAAGTGCTGTCAAGTCAGTTCTGACCCATCGTGACCCTGTGTAGGGTTTCCGAGGAGTTCCTGGTGAGCTTGAACCGCCGACCTTGAGGTTCAAACTGACGTTGCGGTCCAGCGCATTAATCTACAGCGCTACACCAGTACTCCCACAGTTGAGCATAAGACCTTTATAATGTTGTTGTTAAGTGCAGTCAAGTCAATTCAGACGCATAGTGACACTGTACAGGGTTTCTAAAGCTTTAAATCTTCACAGGAGCAGAAAGCCTCATCTTTCTCCCAAGGAGCAGTTAGTGGGCTCAAATCACAGACCATTTGGTTCTCAGTCCAGCGCTTATCGTAAACACATAAAAATAAAAGAACACTAAATAGTTTGCTTTTCTCAAGTCTCAGGGAAAGCACCAACATACAGCTTGACCTGGGAGTCAACTTCCTTTCTTAGTCTTCTGATATGATTTGGCTTGATCTTAGAATTTCTAGCTTTAGTCAGAGGTGTGCACTGTCTATTTTCTACCCACCATGTTCAGTTCCGAAGAAGGGAAATGGAGGGGCACTTCAGATAAATGCATCATTTCTCCCTTTGTTCCTTCTGCCTGTGTGCTTTTTCACCACTGTGAGTGGAATTGAATGATAATTCCTGGTGCAATTGATTGAGTTTCCCATTCTGTACCGGGCTCATAGCTCATTTAGTCTTCATAATCCTGGAGAGAAGTATTAATTCTGTCTTGTATAGATAAGAAATGATTCTCAGAAAGTATGAAAGAGTCTCCAATGCCTCACAGGTAATTGGTGAATTCTAGTTTTGACTAAGTGCTTGTTTTTCTCATTGGCTAATAACTCATGATAAAGGATCTCTGCATCTTCCATTTTGAAGGCATGAAGCAGAATGATTCTCAAGGTAGCAGACCTTTCCAGTCTTTGAATTTGAAGGCACTCCTCAAGTAGACAGGTTGGTTTGAATTTCAAGGTCAGCAGTTCAAGCATTACCAGCCACTCCTTGGAAACCTTATACAGGGTCACTATGAGTCAGAACTGGCTTGATGGCAGTTGACAACAAAAACCAGTCATTCATTATGTGGTAGGCACAAAGACTATAGAGTTTGTTGTTATTGTTAAGTGCTATCAAGTTGGTTCCAACTCAGCAACCCTGTGTAGGGATTTTTGAGGAGCGACTGGTAGATTTGAACCACTGACCTTGTGGTTAGCAGTCCAATGCTTATCCTACAGTGCTACAAGCTAGAAGGTCCTTATTAAGTAATTCACTGCATCACACTGTGCCTTTTTCAGATTGAGGTCAGATATACATTAGAGTCAACTTGAAGGAAGTGGTTTTGATTTGGTATAAGCCACAAGGTCACTTGTAAACAATCTTTCAGGTCACTCTTCAGCTTCTAGATCAAAACCAGTAGATTATTGAGTAAAAAGTATTCCCTACCTTCTTTCTCCTCAGTCTGTATAGGACAACAGCAGTGACCCTTTCTAATTAAGGGGTGGGTTTGTTTTGTTTTGTATTTTGTTTTCATTTGTAACCTCAGTAGCATTCCTTCTTCTTTAGAAATGCTTCATTTACTGTGAGTAGATGGTTATTCTATATAATTGGCTTCCAAATAAGGCATGTCTGGACCAAAACCTTTCTTAAAGGTGCTAATGCCTTTAAACAGAGTAGATCAGATTTTGAAAATGTTTATTAAGTTGTTGTTTTAAGTGCTCTCAAGTTGGTTCTGACACACAGTACCCTGTGTATGGTTTCCAGGAGTCCTTCCTGGTGTGGTGCTGTAAGGTAAGCACTGGACTGTTACTACAAGTTTGGTGGGTCAAATCCACCAGACGCTCCTTGGAAATCCTATGAAGTGGGACTATGCATCAGAAACGACTCAGTAGCATTTAACAACCACAACAACAGGTTTCTAAGGAGGGCCTGCTGGGTTTGAACCACTGACCTTGTTGTTAGAAGCCCAGTATTTACCCTACAGTGATCACACTAATCACTTTAAATTCTGCCTAAATTTGTCTAATTGGTGTTTTAAAAGCTTCTGGTTAATACAATATTAAAATCAAGGTAATACTATATGTGGAACCCTTGGAGATTCCAGGTACCTTCATCTGATGTTTTTGTTTTGTTTTTTTAAACTTTAATTATAGATCTGTCTATGGCAGTACAGAAATTTTCCCAGTCACTACAAGACTTCCAATTTGAATGTATAGGCGATGCTGAAACAGATGATGAAATTAGTATTGGTGAGTATACTTCTTCAATATTCTAAGGAGTACTTTAAAACAGTTATTTCGGATATTTATTTCATTAAAATCAAACAGGATCATGTACCCAAATAATAAACATTTAAAATATTCCTTAGCTTTGATAAAATATTAAGGATACATATTTGGCTTCTGTGTGAGATGATTATAAATTGTTTTAAAATGAAGTTCAGTGAGAATATAAACTATTTAGCAATGTTTGTTTCTGCCGCAAAGAGAATCATTCTAGCAAATATGTAGTGTGCATCTACTTTTATAAATGTATTATATGCTGGCTTTAACAATTATCCTGCTTTTAAAAAAATATCACTGCTAATTTCTTTTTTAATGTACATTTGTTTGCAAAGGAAAAACCAGACCTCCGGTGGCATAGTGGCTATAAGTTGGGCTGCTAACCTCACGGTCAACAGTTTGAAACTACCAGCGATTCCGTGGGAGAAAGATGAGGCTTTCTGCTCCCATAAAGATTTACAGCTTCGGAAACCCTGTACAGGGTCACTATGAGTCGGAACTGACTCCGTAGCACCATCCACCTACCATGTAACATATTAAACCGGTGTTATTTCAAGATGTGGAACATTGCTGGGGAATGTGACTTGAACCCTCACATTACTTTGTCACAGTCATTAGCAGTCTAACCTGAGCAAGGCAAGTCCCTTCCTGAATTAAATGGTTTCATTTCCTATAAAATGCAAAGAATGGGTTATGTGGTGGCAGCAATTTTATCTGTATCTAGATTTTTACTGCGTGAAGATCAGCTTCATCTAGCATTCTTTTTGTCACTTTTTGACAATCCCTATTTTGTGTACATGTGAGGTCTATTTGTACACTGATTTAGGGTTATATTGTATAATTAGAAGAATGTATAATGTGTGCATATTTTTGAGAACAATGCCACGTGTATCCACCTTCCAGTTGTAAAAATAGGACTTCATGATTGTACTTGCAGTTCAATACAAATAGTTGTTGTTGTTAAGTGCTGTCGAGTTGATTCCGACCTGTAAATACCTTGTACAGAATTTCCGAGGTTATAAATCTTTACGGGAGCAGAACGCCTCATCTTTCACTCGCAGAATCGCTGGTAGTTTTGAACTGCTGGCCTTGAGATTAGCAGCCCAATTCATAACCATCATGCTCCCACAGCTCCTTAGTACAAATAGTACTTGTTGTTAAATGTCGTTGAGTCAGTTCTGACCCATAGCAACTCTGTATAGATTTTCCAAGGAATGGCTGATCTTATGGTTCAAACTGACTTTGCAGTCCAGCGCATTAACCCATAGCACCACAACAGGACTTAGAGAAGGATTCCCAAAATGTAACATTCATACAAAACCCCATGTTAAATGTAGATTCTGATTCCGTCATTCGTGGGTGGAACCTAAGGTTCTGCATTTGTAAACAACTCTCCTGTATTGCTGATGGTTTTGGTCCGCATGTCCCACTTTGAATAATAGGGATTTAAAATCCCCAGCTCATGTCTGTCCAGTCACATGTCTCTACTTTGGCCCAGTTTAAACATGTCTCTCGAATCAGTGGATGACTACAGACGCATTCTATCAACAATACACTTGCCCCAGTCTCATTAGAGTGCCTTCAAAACAAAAACAAAAACAAAAACAAAAAACATCTCAAACCCCCTGCAGATGAGTATATTCTGATTCATGGAGACCCTATAAGACAGAGTAGAAATGCTCTATAGAGTTTCTGAGGCATAAATCCTCACAGAAACAGACGGCCAAGCCTTTCTCCTACAGAGCAGACGATGGGTTCGAACCGTCGACCTTCCACTTGGCAGCCCAATACTTCACCCACGAAGTATACTCAACTAAGTAGCTACTGTTGTTTTTCCATTAAAGTAACTGAGGCACAGAGTAGGTAAGTGATCTGCCCCAGTTCACACAATGTGAGAGGTGAATTTGGGACTCTAATCCGGCCAGTAATCTGAAACTGTCCCCACTCTTTTGTCTGATCTCTGCTTTCAAGACTTTTGGATATGTAGCTAGAATGGAATTGCAGGGTCATATAGTAGTTCCATTTTTAATTTTTTGAGAACTGAAAACATTGTTTTCTACAACAGCTATATCATCTTACATTCCCACCATCAATGGATTGTTGTTATGTGCCGTGGAGTCGGTTCCAACTCATAGCGACCCTGTACAGGGTTTCCAAGGCTGTAAATCTTAACGGGAGCAAAAAGCCTCATCTTTCTGCCGCAGAACAGCTGGTAGTTTCGAACTGCTGACCTTGCAGTTCACAGCCCGATTTGTAACCACTACTCTGCCAGAGCTCCGTACCTCAATGGATAAATGTTCCAATTTCCCCAAAACCTTTCCAACATTTTTAACTTTTATTGTGAATTGAGTGAAGGTTTACAGAGTGAAGCTTTACATTCAACAAATCCTACACCTTGTTTCATCTCAAAATACCCCCCTGCCTGTGGTTCCTATTTCCATACCACCCACCTTCCCTTCTCAACTTTGTCATTACATATTTCCCTTTTGATTTTGGATGATTGACCGTTCCATCATTCATAGTGAGCAGACCTTACCAGTGTTGTTCCCCCTGTATTCCTATCTACTGCTTGGCTAAAAGTTGGACCATGAGGGTGAGTTCCTTTTCAAACCTGAAAGTCTCTTTCTGACCAGTAAGTCTGGTCTTTGTTTTTATAAATTATTATTTCCTCCAACACACACACACACATTCTGCTACTCCATCCAAGATCTAATGTGATCACTTTCAGAGCAGTTGGTAGTGGTAGCTGGGCACAGTCTAGTTTTTCTGGTTTGTTAGTTTCTTTTTCTAGTTTTCTTTTATCTTTGCTCTCCTATTGGGAGTAGAATGATATATCATTGTGGTGTTTTAGTTTGCTTCTCTCTTATGACTAATTATGCAGAACATCTTTTTATGTTCTTGGTGGTCGTTTGAATGTCTTCTTTAGTGAACTGTCTTATTTAAGTCCTTTACCTGTTTTATGATTGGGTTATTTGTCTTTCTGTTACGAAGTTGTCAGTGTTTCATATATATTTTGGTTGTTAGATTTTTGTGAGATATAGTTTACAAAAATATCCTCCCAGTCAGCATGTTTTTTTTTTGTTGTTGTTGTTTTTTGGTAAAGTCTTTGATGAACAAAAGTTTTAAATTTCTGTGTGGTTCAGTTTATTTATATTGTCTTTGTTATTTGTGCTTTTGTTACTGTTTTATATAATCCATTGCTAAAAGTTAGGTCTGACAGTGTTACCCCCTGCTTGTTCTTCTACCAATTGTATGGTTTTAGTTTGTACATTTAGATCCTTAGTCCAGTTTGAATTTGTTTATGGGTACAGTGTGAGATCACGATCCTGTTTAATTTTCTGTATATGGCAATTCACTTTTCCCAGCACAATTTATTGCACAGACTTTTCTTTCCCTATCAAATGGACTTATTTCATAGCCTTGCTAAAAGTCAGTTGACCATAGATACATGGATTTTTTTCTGGACTCTCAGTTCTATTGCAGTGGTTTTGATGTCAGTTTTTATACCAGTACCAGGCTGTTTTGATTACTGTAGCTTTATAGTATGTTTAAGGACTCCTGGTGTGGTGCTTTAGGGTCCTTACTGGACTACCAACCACATGGTCCGCAGTTCAAGTCCTCCAGCTGCTTCTCAGAAACCCTGCACATGGTGGCTCTGAGTCAGAACCAACTTGATAGCACTTTACAATAACAGTAGTATGTTTTCAAATCAGAAAGTGTGAGTCCTTTACCTCATTTTTTTTTTTTTGAAGTTTTTATTATGAATTTTTACCTCATTTTTTAAGAGTAAACAGCTTTATACTTATTTCTTTTAATTTCCATTAAGTTTGTTACTTAAAATACATGCCTGAAGTCACAGTAACTTCAGAGGTAGCATTTTTTAACCACTAAACTGTGCAACCATCTAGTCAGTTATTAGGTATTTCTCTGGTTGCAGTAAATA